CCACGGCACTCACTCTAGCCTGGGCAACAAAGTGAGACTCTGTCCCAAAAGAAAAAAGAAAAAAAGGGAAAAAAGTATTTTAAAAACAAAATAAAGAAAAAAAGAAAGAAAGAAACCAGCCTGAGCAAGAGCGAGACCCCCGTCTCTACTATAAATAGAAATAAATTAATTGGCTAACTAATATATATATAGAAAAAATTAGGCGGCATGGTGGCCGCATGCCTGTAGTTCCCAGCTACTGTCGGGGAGGCTGAGCAGAAGGATTGCTTGAGCCCAGGAGTTTGTGGTTGCTGTGAGCTAGGCTGACGCCACGGCACTCACTCTAGCCTGGGCAATAAAGCGAGACTCTGTCTTCAAAAAAAAAGAAAATGAAAAGGACCAGACATAGATTGGGAGGAAGATATTTGTAAATCATATATCTGATAAAAGATTTGCATCCAAAATATGAAACTCTCAAAACTCAATAACAAAAACGAGACAACTGAATTAAAAAGAAATGATCCACTACTGCACTTAACTAGTCTAAAAAAGAAAAAGAAATGAGCAAAAGATTATAGGGTAGCACGGGAGGGAGCCTTGTGATGGAAATCTTCTGTACTTGACTATAGTGATGGTCACATGAATGTTACATGTGGATAAAACTGCACAAAACTAGCTGGGTGCAGTGGTGGCACACCTGTGGTCCCAGCTACGTTGGCAGACCCTCGGTAGGAGGATTGCTTGGTGCCTGAGAGTTTAAGAAACAGCCCAGGCAACATAGGGAGATCCTGTCTCAAAAAACAAACAAACAAAAAAATTGCATGGAACTAAAAACACATAAATGAGTTCATATAGGTATGGTAAAATCTGAATTTCACTTGAAATCTGATTGTGTGCAATATTATAATGTACTTAAGCGAGATGTTACCATTGGAGAAAATGATTGAAGAATATAAGGAATCTCTCTCTTTTTTTTTTTTGAGACAGAATCTCACTCTGGTTGCCCGGGCTAGAGTGTTGTGGCATCAGCCTCGCTCACAGCAACCTCAAACTCCTGGGCTCAAGTGATCCTTCTTGCCTCAGCCTCCCGAGTAGCTGGGACTATAGGCATGTGCCACCGCTGCCTGGCTAATTTTTCCTATAATTTTTAGTTGGCCAATTAATTTCTTTCTATTTTTTAGTAGAGACAGAGTCTCACTTCTTGCTCAGGCTGGTTTCAAACTCCTGAGCTTTTGAGCGATCCTCCCGCCTTGCCTCCCAGAGTGCTAGGATTACAGGCGTGAGTCACCTCACCCAGCCAAGAAATCTGCTTTTTATTATTTGTTTCCTTATTTATTATTTTTATAGTTGAGATCTCCCTGTGTTGCCTAGACTGGAATGCAGTGGATAGTCACAGGCACAATCATAGACCACTACATCCTCGACATCCTGGAGCTCAGGCAATCCTCCCACCTCAGCCTCCTGAGCAGCTGGACTCACAGGTACACTGGCCAAAAAAATTTGTTTTTAATCAGCAAAAATGTAAACGATACTTCACACAATGTAGAAACTATCCCTCGGATAAAAGACAAAACAACCCCATGAGACGTCGAACGATGCAACTTACACCTCTCAGATCATTAGGAACAACAACAAGAATACAAAATGACAATACACAGATGAAGAAAAAAAAAAAAAAAAAAAAAGAAGATTGCTAAACAAGGCCTAGGGAGCTTGGAGACTTTGGGGGTGTGGTAAGGGGATGGGGAGTCTCACTACTGAATTAATGGTGTCTCTCTCTTTCGAAGCTGGTCTCGCTGATCAGTTCTCCCGGTTTTCTGTTTCCTCCTCTAAACTTCTGTGTGAAAAGAGAACCTGCTGATATCCAGTGAAATAATCATTGGGGGTAAGAGGGACCATAATAACACCCTCTCTTATATGAGCACAGTATTTTACCCTTGCTAATATCACGTGGCCTTGGGACCAGTTTGAACCTCAGTTTCCCCACCTATGGCATGTCTATGGCTCTGGAGTCAGATTGCCTGCCCTTGGCAGGAAGGGGCTGCAATACAATAATGTGCCCTTTTTATAATAATGCAGCCATTACAACAACTGTGGCTTTGGGGAGGCTTTTTGAGCCTCAGTTTCCTCCTTTGTATAAAAAACCATATGGTGCCTCTCTTTACAGGTGTGGAAAGGGCTACAGAAGATAGTAAGGACAGACTTTTCATACAGTGCCTGGCATGAAGAATTCAATAAATGGCCACGTTTGTGACGACGATGATTATTATTATTCAAATACGAGCCTTAAATATTAGGGCTTAGAGCATGGGACTCACCTAAATTCACCTAGCAGCAGAGCTGGAATAGGAACTCACGCCTCTTTCCCCAGGCTCGAGAGGGGGGCGGCTAGGGCGGGGAGGAGCGGTGAAGAAAATTCCCAAGCGGTCCAAGCTGGGGTGTCGGTGGCTTGCAGGTGTGGGACAGAGGTAAGATGACCCTTGCCCAGCGACTGCTCCCGCAAGGAGCGCATTCCCAGGCCTCCCGCCCGGGGTCTGCAGGTGACAGGCTGGGGCAGCAAGGGAAAGCGCTAGCCCAGTTTGCCGTCTCCATGGCGACCGCCCGCGCGGCGCCAGCCTGACAGGCCGTCCGGGTTTTATGAATGGGTGACGTCACGGGCCTGGCGTCTAACGGTCTGAGCCGCTTGTTCAGACGCTGACACAGACCGGCCCGGGAAGAGGGGGTAGACTTTAGCTCCGCAGCTGCCGCGCCGTGGGAGGGAGACCCTGCTCCGAGGTCTTTGAGGGAAAAAAAAAGTCCAGCCAAAAAAGGGAGAGAAGTTAAAAAATCACTAGTTGCTGCAATTTAGGGAATTTTTGCAAGGCTGCAAATTTAGCGTAGAATCAGATGCAGCCCCGCTTCACTGCGCCCCTTCTATCTACTTCAGGTCCCAGCCCCCAACCTTGCAAGATTTTACCAAATTAGTTGTTCCCACCCCTGGTCCCCAAAACACTAACAGCAACATTCTCTGGGAATTGGGAAAGGGAGACCAGCCACCAGGAGCGGGGTGTAAAACAGGGTCCGCTTTAAATTTTGGGGACCAGGGTCCGAGAGGTAATCTTCCAAGAGGGTCCAGAAACCCAGGCTCTAGTCACGGGCTCTCTGGGCGACCCAGAGCCAGCTGCTTCTCCGTCCGAGCCTCAGTTTCTCTCATCTGTAAAATGGAGCTGAAGAGATGAGAAAGTGAACATGGGAAAACTGATCCCTGAGATCTTTCTGTTACGGGCAATACCGGCTTAGCTTCCTTGCCTCCTTCCTGAAGAGCCCAGGGCAGCCCTCGCCTCCACTAGCCGCCGGGCCCCGTGCTCTCCCACCCACCCTCTCTGTTCTTGAAACTCGGGTCTCCTTTCCTCCAGCGCGAGGGTGCTCTAGTCGAGCTGGAGGCGGGGCCCAAGTGCGCGCGAGACCACGCCTCCAGACCGCCTATTGGCTGCTTTTGAACGTTCTGAGCCCGCCCCTTGGGAGGTGCGCCCCCTTCTCTATAAAAGACCGGCTGTGGCGCTCCTCTCCTGCAGTGTGCGATCGTCTTCCTGTGCTCCGTTTCTTTTCTGGCGTGCCGGCTCCCGTCTTCTCCGTCCGCTTTTCTTGTTTTACCCCGTTGGCAGAATCATGAAGGTCGCCAGTGGCAGCGCCGCGGCCGCCGCGGGCCCCAGCTGCGCGCTGAAGGCGGGCAAGACCGCGGGCGGCGCGGGCGAGGTGGTGCGCTGCCTGTCGGAGCAGAGCGTGGCCATCTCGCGCTGCGCGGGCGGCGCCGGGGCGCGCCTGCCCACCCTGCTGGACGAGCAGCAGGTGAACGTGCTGCTCTACGACATGAACGGCTGCTACTCGCGCCTCAAGGAGCTGGTGCCCACCTTGCCCCAGAACCGCAAGGTGAGCAAGGTGGAGATCCTCCAGCACGTCATCGACTACATCAGAGACCTGCAGTTGGAGCTGAACTCCGAATCCGAAGTCGGGACCCCCGCGGGGCGCGGGCTGCCCGTGCGGGCTCCGCTCAGCACCCTCAACGGCGAGATCAGCGCTCTGGCAGCCGAGGTGAGGTCCGAATTGGAGCACTAGATCATCCTTCCACCGATGGGGAAACTGAGGCCAGAGAGGGAGGGCGGTACTTGGACTGTGTCCGTCCCATCCTTGCAGGCACCTGGCTTTGCAGGGATGCCCATGGAGACTGGAAAACGCTCCCCCATCGTGTCTCGTGGGGAAAGTGGGGGGGCTGTTGCGCTCGCGGCGTTGTCCCCTCCAACCTGCCCAGCTCACCTTTCTCTTGTTTTCACAGGCGGCATGTGTTCCAACGGACGATCGCATCTTGTGTCGCTGAAGCGCTCCCTCAGGGACCGGCACATCCCAGCCCTTGGGGGGCAGGAGGAATAAGTGCTCTCCGACCCACCGAAGATCCACCCGAGCGCCTCGCCGGAGCTGGGGGCAAACGACACCCGGCGGCCATTGGGCCCTTGCTGGATCTGGCCCGGCGCTGGTGGACTGACGAGGAGAGGCTGTGACCCTCCTTTGCCACACTGACGAGCCACCAGAGACTTGGGGGGAGTCCCCCCGTGTGTTTCTATTTTTTGAAAAGCAGACATTTTAAAAAATGGTCACGTTTGGTGCTTCTCAGATTTCTGAGGAAATCGCTTTGTATTGTATATTACAATGATCACCGACTGAGAATATTGTTTTACAATAGTTCTGTGGGGGTGCTTTTGTTGTTGTTGTTGTTGTTATTAAACAAATACTTGGGTGGTAAAGTTGCAGTGACTTCTTGGATCGAGGGGAGGGGCCTGGGCCGGGGGTTGACCCCTGACACGCTTCACAGCTGGTGCTGGGAGGAGGGGAACTGGAGGGTCACATCTGGACTGTCGCTTTTACCGGCCTGAATGAGTGTTTCCGGTGTCTTTAAAGTCTATTCTTTCCCCCATCCCTGACCATTTCCCTGCTCCGCGGTGTCATAAAATTAAATACTCTAGACCTCTAGGGTTTCTCAAAGCGATCACTGGACCATTTGGATCACCTGGGGAGGTTGTTAAAATGCAGATGAACCTGCCCAGGCTCCCTCTGAGTTGGGAAGTATTGAACTAGCCTTTTAGGTCGGAGAACCAGGTTACTGGACCACCCAGTTCTTGCCAAGAGGTGGGAAGTGAGATCCAGTGGAAAGGGATTTGCCCAGGGTCATGGCTTGTCTGGGGCAGCAGTTCTGTCACCCCATTCCCTAGTAGGAGGCACCTCCCCCTATGGGCCACCTCACTGGATCTCAGCAAGCTGCCTGCCCTGGGGCTCCTGGCTTGTCCAAGTGGGTGAGCAAGTTGGCAGGGCCAGACTGGGCACAGCTGCTGGGCCACCTGCTCTGGGTCCAGACTCAGCCCCCTCTCCCTGGCCTGGATCTGCCAGCAGCTAAAACAAACCTCTTTTCCCCCAAGGCTAATGCGTGGGCTCTGAGGAGTGGGTGAGTCTCTGGTCCCCAGCTCCTGAGCAGGAAAAAGGTGTCGTTGGCAAGGGCCTATCTGCCTGGACATGTATGTGGGTTTGTACCCACAGGGAGTGAGTATGAATGCCTGGGCCTGTGTCTATAACATGAGTGAACTGGCAGTCCCCCACCAGCACCATGGGACTGGGTCTATTCACGTACAGGCCTGGGGGTGTAAATAAGGATATGCTTGGGGGTGTGCAGAAGGGTAAGTGTGAGCACATGTGTTCTGCAGGTAAGTGCAACCTCCAGCTGTTTGGGCTTGTATGTTCTGCCTAAATGCACTGTGGGCATCTCTGCATGGGGCTGGGGTGATGGATAGGTTTGTGTGTCTGGGGGCCACACTTGAGTTTCTGTGTGTATAATTGTTCTGTAAGCTGGTTGGCACTCCTGGGCCTCTGCAGGTCTGGGGTGAAGGTGGGGGCAGCTGTGTTTGGACAAACCTTTCCTCAAAAGTTCAATACCAACTCCCTGGGCAGTTATTAGACCCCAGGGACACCAACCAGTGTCCCTGCCAGGTCAACTCCCATGTAGTATATATAGAGAAACTGAGTCTCAGAAAGGGCAAAGAGCTTATCTCAGAGGGGGTAAGGACTATTAATACATTTTGTTAATAAACAAAATAGAATAAAATAAATAGCAACCTAGCACCAGGAGCCTGAGAAAAGAAAACTTTTATCTGGGAAATGTAAGTCCTTTTAATTATCAAGCTCAGAGACCTCAATCTTCACAACCTACTCTCCCGTTTGAGCTGTGTATTCATCTCCTGAAACTACTTGCTAATGCCACAAATAGCTATAAATTAACCTAACAATGCCACACCTGACACTATAATCCTCTTTAGCTTAACAATGTATAGCCAATCACTAATCAATGTTATTTCTGTAAACCAAGGAGAATTTCAGGCCCACGTCCTGTCCCCCTTTTTGGCCTTTAAAAATGCACTTGTAACCGTTGCTAATCAGGGCAACTTAAATCTATGCTCCCGGTTGCAATGCTCACCACGCTTGGCCCAAATAACTCTCTACTTGCATTAATTTTGCCTCAACTTCTTCCTTTTAGGTCGGCAACTCTTTACATAAAGGGTTTCATGTGGGCTAAAGGCAGGATTCCGATCCCAGTCTTACAGCAGCAGAAACAATCTGTGAGAGGGGATGGGCAAAATCAAGTTAAAATTAAGGTGGTTGTTTTTTTTTTTTTTTTTTTAAAAAGGTTATTTATTGAGTACTAACCTTAAGCCAGGTACCACCGCCTCCTCAAGCACTTTATGGACTTTACCAAAAAACACAGTATTTGTGGGTAAATTATGTCCCCCGGCCCCCGCCCCGCCGCCGTTTATGGGTGCTAACCGCATAGCACCGCAGTACAGAATAAATGAAATAAATCCAACGAAGCGTTTAGCACAGTGCCTGGGCCGGTGTGTTTGATAGTTATAAATAGTCATTATTAATTGTCGCCTGTGTGTCCTCAGGAGTGTCCCCGGAGGCATACATGTGCACCCACTCCCTCCCACGCGCGGGCCCCCGCCTGCAAGCCCACCCACGGGGACGCGGGCGGGTCCCCCGCGCGCACCCCTACACTGCAGGGCCTTCTTCCCGGGGAGGAAGGGGCTGCGGCGGGCCCGGCCCCCGCCCCCGCCCCCGCCATTCAGGCACACTCTGGATTCCACGTTTCCCTCTTTTCCCCTTTGGCCCGGGCCCAGCCCATCTGGAGGCCGGCTCGGCGGCGGCCTGGGAGCGTTTCCATCAGCTGGGCCCGAGGAATGCGGAGCTATTTAACCTGAGCATCCCCAGGTGTACGGAGGCGCCTGGCTGTCTGGGGCCCGCCGTCTTTGGCACGGCCGCGCTACACAAACAGCGCGCCGCCCCCGCCCTGCCCCTCCGCCCGCAGCTGCAGCGGGGCCTGGGAACCGGCGGGCGCCGGCGGCTTGCATAAGAGG